CTTGGATATCTTCATCCCTTCAATAGTATATAAATCAAAAGGTATTTGACATTCTTCTTGGGTTACTCAAATTTTTTTTCATAAGAAAGAAAACCCAATGGGTATTGGACATTGGTTCAACTCCTCTTGGATATTACATCCCAACATTAGAATAAAACCCAACAGGTAATTTTTACTTGTCCAATTCTTCTTGGGTTACTTATACCCTTCATTAAAATTGTCAAATTTGTCTTGGATATTTATACTCTTGCATTAGATTGCAAACCCAATAAGTATGACATTTACCTTCCCTAGTTGAATTCAAATTTATTTGCATAAGCATACATAGGTCCAAAACATATTTAATACTTTAATTCTAACATGCCACATCTCATTCAGTGTACACTTTACAAATGATAGGAAATATATAAGCATTTTGTGCCTAAACTATTTGGCTTTTAAAGAATTTTATAACCATATTTGCAAAATTTAAATTTAAATATTGGAACTTGGAGCAAGTCATTACAGGTAGAGCAAGATGCTGAAAACCATATTGATAAATAGATCACATCCTTGATAAAATATTTGCCTTCAGTTGCTAAGATTGTGTTGTATTATATGGAAAATTTCTATAATCCTGTTTATTACAGATACAGAGATATGTACAATGCATATTTTCCCTGTAATGATAAAAATACTTCTGAGATGTAAAAGAATGGATTTAATAGTCACCGATGTTAAAAGATATTACATGTATCTCATTAATCTGGTTTGGAAATCACAAACTTAGTTTTGAAGCAGATAAAACAGTGTCGCACCAGAAAACTCAGTTACAAGTACAATGAATGAATTCGTTGTATCAAAACTTTAAAATAATTGATGCACTATGTCCAAATCTTTTCGACAAATCCGGATAAAGATATTAAATCAAATCATCACTGTTATAAGTCTTAGAGGAAGAGAAAAGTCATTACATGCCCAAATTTTACATGTAAGGCTTTGATCCTATATTTCAATAAATGTCAAAATGGTTTTATTTTTGTTTCTCTTCCATACTTTCTTCTTCAGGGTCTCTCATGGCCTATACTGTATGATACCTCCATTGACCCTGCTCTTTTATATTGCCATATGTTTATCCAGTAGCAGTGGTTATGCTCAGGCAATCTTTGAAATATTCCTCATTTCATGCATCTCCTTAATCTGCCTCTGTCCTTTTTATTTATTCTGCAATTAGATAAAGGCATTTCTTTGCCGTATAAAACATGTTTTTCTTGACTACAGTAAGATCACCCTTTATGTTGATCAAACCCAACCAAGAAGTAGAAGTATATTTCTTATTCAGAAATATGTATTGATAAATAAAATGGAAGAAAGACTAAATTCTATCAAATCTTTTTTGTTTCTTCTATGTCTAACTGCATCTTCATCCTACCCCCCATCTGCCATAATTTTATCAAAATGGAATCATCATTCAACACACAAAACGATGTTGCATATTAATTAGACAGTTTGTTAGTTTCTGATTGTTAAGAAGGAGATTTTAAAAAGATTTTACACCTATTCCTTGCAAATTTTAGACTTCTAATGTAACACTATCAGTACATTAGGGGTACATAATCTTCAAAAACATTTCTACACTTAATGATAAAGCTTTCATATTAGTATTGTTCTTAGCCCAATGGTTCTGCTAAAGAGGATTTAAAATTGACCCAAACCTTACTAACTGCTTTGAAATTATATTGACAGGGACAGAGACACACTTGACACTCCATCCCCCTTCCTGGGGTATGCTTTGCACAAAATTTAATTAAAATTGACTTAGCTGGATAGAAGTTGAAAATATGAAAAATTACAGTCAAACAGAATATGAATAACTTTCACCACATCAGACATGAAGTAGTGATCCTTAAATAAAATACACCTACAAGATAAAGCTACTTTATTCCTTTGAAGTGATATCTAGTATTGTTTCTTTTCCTGTATGCCACCTCTATCAGAACAAAATGTTATACACGTATTAACATAACCTATGACCGAATAGTACCACGGTTTTTACTTTACAATTAATTAAGTTCTGTTCTGGAACCAACCCTCAGATGCCCTTAAAACAAATGATTCAAAACTGGCAAAGGTAAAGGGCATCTGAAGAATATAAAATAAAATGATAGTACAAACAAGCAAACAGTGTGCATGAAAATGTTGGCAAACACTAGAAAAAATACTAAGGTACTTTCTCAAACTCAACATGAATACTAAAGAGGCTTTATGTAGCTGTATTGCACATACCAAAAGCTTTCCTGCCGTTAAAGGTTGGTTGCCTAGTAGTTATGTAGTATGTACAAGTTTTCCCCTCTATTTCTTCTAATTTAAGAAGCGAAAATGTCTCTAAAAATCTTATGGTTGGCATGAAGTATTCCTGATCATTTTACTGATTACTTACAATTGTCCTATTTCTGAGGGTCATCTTCTGATGAGTGTTTTTTCTGCAATGTTCACAATTAAAGTTCCTGTTTGACCTGTTACATATTGAAAATCCTCAATGAACATGATTATGGTTTTAATTTCCATTGCAATTATTGATTAATTTTATAAAAAAAAATCTAAACCAATTTATTGTAACATAATACTTAGGAAAATATTTATGAAATATCAATGGAAAAAAGGAATCATTATCTCCAGTTATCCTAAAATCACAAGTAAGCATTAATCATATAAATTCACATACGTAAACCCATTAGCTTTTTGTGCTATTAAATCATAGTCAGCGCTGTGCAATAAAGGAAATCAAGTACTAATCCACAGCTTGGTGGCAATAAAGTTAATATCCCTGAGTAAAGTGACAAGCCCAAATATAGAGGCAAAAATTAAAAAGTAACATTGAAAAAAAGTTCATCGTGAAAAAAGTCAGGGTATTAACTACAGATGATTCTTTTTAAAATTAAAGTTTAATTTAATTTTCGCTAGTAAAATTTAATCATATATAAATTAATGATTTAAAAAAATGAAAAAAAGATTTTAAATATTCCTTTTCTGGTCATTCACTTGTTCGTCTAATTAAAACGAAGCAAAAATCATTTTGTTTTCATCTTGAATCATTTAAAGCCATGTATGGTGTATGTACAATGAAAATTATTAGACTGAAATCATAAAAACTTATTATTTGTATCATTAATTAATTTATATAAACATGATAAAGATAGAAATTTTCTGTAAATTACAAAATCTAAGTCAACTGCGTTATAAAGATATCAAAATTTAATTTGGATTCTCGAAATTTTCTCCGACTTGGAAGAAAATACAAAAGATTTAAATAACACATTACAGAGAAGATAAAATCGTATTATTAGATGAAACGAGGTGTTCACCGTGCTCCGAATTGTATGAAAAGCTTTAATTTAAATGTATTGACTATATTTCTTTACTTAATTTTGTATTTTTCAAAAATATATTTTTTGATCAGTTACGCCATATATGGTTTTAAATAAAAAAAAGCGCAATATAATTGCATGACACTTATCATTGAGCTGATTGAGTAAATGTATATAATTTAATAATGAGATATCTGTGAGGCATATATGTACATGCAAATATTGCTATATTAAACAAATGAAAGGGGGGAATTCAAATAAGGAAAAAAAAAGATTGTTTTAAGTAAATCAGTCTGGTAGTACTGCAAAATGGATGCAGTTGTGGAGATTTATGGATAATAGGAGCATGCTGTCTGGAATATTTCCATAAAGGGAATTTAAAAGCAAAACGGAGTGAAAATACCGGTGGTGCTTTTCATGTATTACATGTGTACAGTGTATTTTAAAATTCCTAATAGCCCAAGGGGATTCTTCAGTGCAGAAAACCACTAGCCCCATCCTCAAAAATGGAAGCCCCGGGTGTAGCGCGATGCTAATTACACACCCATCATGTGAAATAGTTATAGTAGCCCTATATCAATTTCAGTATTGTTTTAAATTAATTAAAACAAATGCCAAAAACAATAATTTTTAAAAAATCAAAATAAAGCAGACACTCAAAGTCAAAGACAGAAAGAAGCACTGTTTTGACTGAACGTTTTTCAGTAATACAATGAATCTCTTACATATCAGATGAGATAAACTTACATACAATTATTTAGTTGTTGTCAATTATCCCATTTATCATCATCTCAGCTCACTTTGCGATTGTAATACTGTCTACATGAACCGATAATTTACAGCTGATTTATGAATACACGATTGTTAAAATTTTCATTTCCCTTTCGAATATACATTGTCAGAACATACTTAGTTGGTTATGATATAAAATTAAATAATTAACACTTTCGATTTATTAAAGATTATCTAACAATATACGATCATTTACTAAATACTTTTCGCCCTTAAGAGAGTTAAAAAGACAGAGAAAATTCAAAATACATACAAGTGTAACTTAGGATTAATTGTTCCGATATATCTATTTTAATTTTGTGCATAATTGTTTTCAAAATTACATTAAAATCAATTTTCCTTAAACAAGAACCCAGCAATAGATAAATATTAATCGAATAAACTTACCTTTTCTCTTGTCAATCAGACAATCTTGTTGACATTAAGTGTTTCTTAGTCGCCATATTTTTTTTCCATGAAAACAAACGTTGTTATGATCAGGATCAAGGGAAGTTGATTTTCGGAACTCTCGAGAATTTAGAGTTCCGAATGTAAAACTGAAACACAAAACACGGTGCGTCCGTGAAAGCAACTTTTTTGGACACTTTTTCGGACAAATCGTCGTGTCCAAGTTTTGTTGGGTACTAACCTGCAAATACCCAATTAGGGTGTTTTAAGCATATTCAGCGACACTTCTTATTGGGTATACCCAATAAGCAAAAAGTACCCAATAAGTACAATCTTGGCATGAAAAATACCCAATAAATGCACTCTCGTAAACACGGACAGACGGACGGACGACGGACAAAATGTGATCAGAAAAGCTCACTTGAGCCTTCGGCTCAGGTGAGCTAATAAGGGTTAGTTTTTGCATTTAATATTTATTTGTATATATTTTAAACAATCGGGTCTTGGCATGGCGCGGTATCGCATTTTTGCGACGTAGTACTGTGACGTCATAAGCGTTAATTATTTTCAGCACCATCGGACTTTGGCTTGTCAAACCATCGGGGTTGGCACAGACCATCGGACTTTGGAGTCCCATCGCACTTTGGAGTCCTACATATATATAAATTATTCATTAATGTACTGTAATTTTTTTCCTTTATACAACATTTACTTATTTTTTATAACAAGAATGCAAATAATGGCTCATTATGCTACTGGTTTCGTACAAAATGTAATCTAACAAGCATTCTGAGAGTATTAGATAAGCAATACATGTCCTCTACCGGGATCCTCTTTTCTCTTTAGGGTGTCTTTTTATTAGACCCTATGTATGAAAAATCGTCACTAAAATAGGGACATTTCGGTATTTCTTGATTATGAAAGATGACTTCTTTGAATGCCACTTGACACATATGCATGCTTTGATCAGAACAGCTCATTTTACGTGGTTAAGAAATCAATTTCATACCCAAAAATCCAACTTGATCTGTATTTGCCACTACAGATACACCTATCCAGCAAGTTTCAAATCATAACAATCTCGTTTAGTTTAATTTAGTGCATCACGAACCCTAACGTGATTCCAATCATAAAAAAAAAATTTAAAAAATACATAATTCCTTAAAAAATTCAATGAAGCAGAATGAAATGCAAAATTGATCTATAACTAATAAAGGTAAGTCTCATACTAAAAATCAGCTCAATATCTGCCAGCACTTAGAAAAAAGTGCGGAAACCCCGAAAAATTTAAAAGGTCATAATTCCGATAAAATCATTTAGGAGAAACGGCATTCAAACTATCATCTGTAACTCATGAAGAGACACTCACACACCAAAAAATTAGCTCAGTATCTTCAAGCGTTAAAAAAAGTGCGGAAAAATCAAGTAGAACAGACTGACAGACAGACGAACGGACGGACGGGTGGACAGCTAGACGGACGGACAGACAAACGCAGAGAAAACCTTTAGTTCCCTACGGTTTTACCGGTAGGGATCTAACAATGCAAGCTGTTGTAATACGTTGATTGATTGTATGTTGTTGTACGTCTCATTTGAGAATTTTTCATTCAAGTAGAGACGTCACTATATATCGGTGTAGAAATAATATGCAGCTTACAGTATTTATTGAAAAGTGTAATCAAATCACCAACAATACAATTGCTTTGTTTTGTTATTCATTTTTGTACGCTTTTAACGCCCCTCTCGAATTGTTTTACTCCTATGGAGACGAAACCAATTGCCGCTGGAGAGCTGCAGTAAGGAACCTTTTCGTGCAAGCATTTACCACGACATGGGAAATCGGTTTATACGACCTCATCCATGTCCCACAGTGGGATTCGAACCCGCGACGTGAGGATCAACTTTTGACTGTGCAACTCCAGAGAAGACACTCTACCACTGCACCACGCAGGCGATTTGGTAAAATGTAGTTTAAAGCAAAATAACATAATTTATTGGATTGATTAGATATGGTTTATCTTCATAGTCTGCAATTTGGAAACAATGGAATATATAAATATTTTTTTAATTACCCTCAGTCAAATAATAATAAGAACTGATTTTTTTCTCTTATCAAGTTGTTTTTGAAGAAAATAGGCGCTGTATTTTATAAACGCAAAAAAGTTTTGGGATTTTGAACATTAATCTCAGGGCAAAACAAAGTCAAAAAAACTTTCATTCTTTACAAAAATCCTGGTTTCATGAGTTTCTCATACGCAGTTGGAAGTTGATTGGTGATATCCTGAAGAATTGTAGTTAGGTTAAGGGATTTTCATTTTCACTCTGTGAATCAATTAGGGTCGAAAAATGTTATTTTATTCAAAACAACCAAGTTCCATTACATTAAATGTAAATTTTATAGATAACGGTGTAAATTTTACAAATTAAAGTGTAAATTTTACAGATTAAAGTGCAAATTTTACAGATTACAGTATAGAAATAAAAAACAAAAAACGAAAAATAAATAAATAAATAAATAAAAAGTCCATTAATACGCTTCTGTACCAAGAAGTTATTTTCAAATTTTTTGACAAAAGTGTGTTTGTATCATCTGTCCTTATGTGAAAAAAAGTTGCTTTAAAAAAGTAAAATTTTAATATGCTTCATTTTGCTATGATGTCTGAAATATTGCGCAATGGAAACACCAGTCGGTTCCCGGAAGAATATTTTACCTATATTCAAAGCTTTTCATTCCCTAGAGGGTCCAGATCTTCTCCCTGTTTTATTCCCTTTTCGCAGATCTTATTGACAGTTGATTTTGTAGATAAATTATTATTCGTTTTGTTCACTTTTTACTTTTATTCTTGAAAGTTTACTTGTGTAGACGATGATTTGGGAATAAATCAGAATAAATCAGAGGATAGATAGTTTCATTTTAGCAAATCGATGGATTAATAAATCAAACCATATTTGACAAACTTAAGGTATATTGATA